TAAGTCAAGTGTCTGTAGAAACAGCTTGTACTGTCACAGTTGAAGAAGTGAGTCTGCCTCTGGGCATTAATGCTGGCTTGAAGTGGCTTACAGTGACTGTGACAGAGTGGCATATGACAGCCTAAAACATAACTTCGGTATAGCATGATTTAAAGCACAGCGTATCTTTGTGAAAATAGAAGCTGAAACAATATTGTGTTTTAATGTCACCTCATCCTGGGGCCATGCATAGATTGTTTGTTCTTCCAGCCGCATGGTACTTCCAAAAATGCCATTTTAGTGATGCACATCTGTAGATCTGTCCTGATTCCTTCCAGCCCTTCAGACAGTTATGCTTTCTTTTGTCACTTGGAAACAAAAGAGTTTTTAAAAATCAGAAACTACTGTAGACAAAAAAATGCAAGTCACTAATCTGATCCCAGTGTCCTGATTTTTACAATGGAATAGCTCTGATTAGTGCCAGACATTTAGCAAGCTATGTGATTATGTTGTTGGGAACTACATTCCATCTGTATTTTCCCTGCTATTATATCCACACAAACCCCCTGTTTGAAGGCAGTACAGTACATAGCTCAGGGCTGGCTTTAGGTGCGTGTCTGCCTGGCAAGCAACATGGGATGACAGCTACTAAAACATGACTTAATATCTGTGAAGTCCGGAGGAGATTTTTTGCTTGTCAAAAACTATGGGGAGGAAAAAAATGTGTGAAATGATGGAAAGCAAGTAGCATGTAATAGTCTGTGTTTTTTCTGCCTTCCAGATTTGGCACCCACAAATTCCAGATATCCTTGTGGACAGTGTTGCTGATAATGGCCCAGTGATGGGCAAAATTGTGGACCAGAGAAACCAAAGACAAGGCAAGGTTTGGAAATGTTAGCGGAGTGTGGGAAGGCAGCGATAAATAACGTAGTTTCTGGGTGCAAACAACTAAGGAGTATGACAGTTGGTGAATTGGGATAGAAATAGAAGAAGGTGGTTTTGAGGCCAAGTCGAGAAGAGAGAAATTTCTGGGGAAGGGTAGTAGTTGAAAATTATATATTTTTGTGATGGAAGGACTGAGTAAAGTGATCCGTCAGTGCATGGCATTCATCTGATGTTCTCCCTCTGCTTATCTCTTGAGTAAAGTGCATCTCTTGAAGTTGGCAGAAGATAAAACATCACTGGTTCTTCAGGTCAGGAAGTTACTACTGGAAGAAGTCAGGGACTTCAGTGACAGCTGTTGTAGGGCTCAGACTCAAAGCCACAAGGATTCCAACATCAGTCTTGAAAACATGCTGAAGTTTTCATCAGAAACCCCCTTCATTGTATTTTTACCTCAAACTTCCCGTCCACTCTCCATTTGAACTCTGGTTTTGGTTGAAGCTTTATATATTTGTTGTGCATCTTTTTTCTGTCAAGCACAAATAAAGTTTTTGTTTCCCACGTGATAAAAATACTCTTTCCTGTATTCTGATAGACTTCAAACTGTTAAAATATGCTGGAGTGTCTTGAAGACTCAGTACCTGGGGATCAGCAATATGTGTGCAAAGTGTAACTTACAGCATCCACAATTCCAATAGAGCAGAAACCCTAGGACAGCAAAAATACTCAGTTTTGTTGATGTATCTTGTATCTCTATGAAAGTTTTCTAAAAGCTGATTCCTCTGGGATCCACCAAGCCAAATCAAAATTTTAGGCTCACAATTCAAATTATAGAATGTGTATATGCTATTTAACAATCCTCTACCATAAACATAATATATGTTTCAATGCTTTCATCGGTTTTGGGAACTAGTACTTGACTTCACATTCTGCTACTGATAATTAGCATTGTTCGTCACATTTTAAACTTACCACTGTGGTCCTTGTTGTCCTTACAATCACAGATGTGTGCAAACATAATGCTCATTTTGTTCATGCTGAACTAGCAAAGTCCTGAATTTCCTGCCTTTCCAGGAAACCTGGAAAAACATACAAGGAAACAACAGTCTAAAAAGAATTGTTTATTGTCATAATACGGTATTTCTTGAACAGACTCTTTTAAGACATGGAATGTCCATGCTGTGGCCAAAGGAGTAGCATAACCCAGAAGAAACCTGCAAGTTTCGTTTCCCTGTGCTGTTGACGACAGTGTAGCCACAAAAGCACAAAGCTAAATGCAGTCTGTGAAATCTGCTTGGGAGCTTGTCAGGAGTCTGTGTGGATTGCACTCCCTGCTGCTGTGGCAACACTGTCACCAGGTCACCCAGCTAGTAGATGTCCCAGCTGATCTGGAGCTAGCTCAAGCATCTCTGCAAAACATGGTGTTGGCGGTGCAGTAAACATGCCTGTAGAAACAAAACAATATCGAAACTGCATAGCAGATGTGTTTCGTATTTGGGTAGTATGCATGCTTGCTGGAGTTATGTATGCTTTCATTACAGGGTCTGTTAACTTTAATCTTAGCAAAAACCCTTTTGACACAAGCACCGTTCATAATCAGTGAAGATATGCTTTGATACTCAGATATATAAGATCTTCCAAATTCCAGATTTATATTGTATTCATGAAAAGGAATTGCAAATACCTTTTTTCCATTTAGAGCAAAATTTGCTATTAGTCCTTGGAGATCCTTACCGTTCTTACACTGGTCTAATGGAGATTGAGATTCTCTTTGAATGTCATATTGCAATTGCTAGATATCAATCTAAGGGATTTAAGTGATGATATCCTTTTTAATTTTTTGTTTTAAATGAGAAACCTTGCTTGTGCTACACATCAGAGCAATGTTATTTGTCAATATGATGAACTTGACTGTGATAGTTTTGTTTTTAAAATGAACTGCATGTCATGCCTGGATTAAACCAGGATAGATAAACTTTCATCTTTTTAAAGAATGTAACTTTACCAGATTTCAGTTGCTACTTTTTAATAATACTGAATGTTGTTGTCTTCAATCTTACAAACAAAACTGTAAGGCTTCAAAATTAAATCTGATAAGTATCTCCATCAGTAATAACTGAGATGATTCTGCTCCCCACCCCCCACCCCCATCTAGTCAGGTCTCTTTAGGTGTAGGTCTTATAGTGTCCAGTGTCTTGCTTTGGAAAGCTTTGTTTTAATGGGCTGTTAGGACAGCATCTATTCAAGAAGCTGGCTGGTTAGACATAGAATTTGGTAACTTAGGAAACACTAGTGAGCCTTTTTCTTTCTGACTTTTCTCATAGACATAATAAAGCAGTGAAGAGAAACTGAAGGGAGGAAGTGTTACCCGCATTACTGATCAAGAAACTTTCTGAAGTATTTGGACAAACTACATATATATGTAGAAAAATCTGAAAAGGTAGGATATCTTCCTTTTCTGTTTTGTTTAGAAAACCTCATAACTAATTAAAACCTGTGTCACAAGTCTCAGTGGGGTTACAAAAGTAATTTTGTATGCTAAGGAGGAATGAGAAACCTAAACCACATTCTTTTAAGTGAGTTCTGCAGAGTCTTACCAAATTCTACTAGGCTTTTCACGATAGAATTTTGATGAAGACAGGTTGTTTGTTAGTTCTTCTTCACAAAGCTTTAAAATCCACGTAAAGGCTACTGAGTTTTATAAAATAGAGCATGTAGGAGAAGACAGTAGCTCCTCATGATTTCAGGGTAAGCTGTAGTTTTGGCTTCTTCCGAAATATTCTGTATTTCTCAAGGTATGTGGAGATTTTATGCTGTTCCCCCTGGAACAGCAATGAGTAGAGAATCTTAGCCCTTTTTTTTCACTATGAAAGCAGCATATTAAGTGATGTGCAGTTCATAAATACAAAATCTGCTAGGTGAAACTGCCAAAGTTATTTTCTGTAAGGGCACTGTTTTGTTTGTTAGACATTATATAAAAGGCATTAAAATTGAAGGAAAACATTTGCATTTGAACTGCTGTGATGTTTATGCTTTAGGTAGAATTCAAGTAAACAGAAACTATGTTTTACAGTGACTACTAGAACTGTGTTCAGTAACAGACTTCACAGCAAGCACGGCTCTGTTGAAGTCTTTGCTTTCACAATTCAGAGAATCTTGATGTAAAATTTGGATTCTGACATTCAGTAGTACAGTCCTCAAACTCTTACTTAAATCTTAAATTCTCCAAAGTACATGTTTGCATTCTCGCCTGTGAAGTTCTTTATGCATGTTAAGTTCTCCATATTTCTAGAATTGCTTCCAGGCCTTTTTGTGGATCTAGCCATACAGATTCAGGACGAAGACTGCTTTATTTCTCTGTGTTGTTTTAATAGCTTGGAAGTGTGCAGAGAGCATGGGTTATGATATTGAGCGTTTCGTTGGCTACGTTAATGAAGGGCTGTTATGCTCCATCTGCCGTGATGTGTTAGAAGATCCATTACAGGCTCCTTGTGAACACGCTTTCTGTACTGCTTGTATACATGGATGGCTTGTTCATCACAGTAACTGCCCTGAAGACAGACAAATGATTGACGTATCTTTGCTACGACCTCTCTACAGGTATACAATAATCTCGCTGAATGTTGAAATTATGTGAATTTAGGATTTCTCAACTTCGCTTACACAGCTTTATCTCTTGTCATTTACTGTCACTCAAATTGTCTTTATCTAATATGCCTCTAGCAGAAACTGATCACTTGCATGAAGGCATTAGCATTTTGTATTTAATAACTTCCAAAGTATTAAGATTTCAAAATGGAAAGAACACTTAGTTTGTTCTCCACCTTTTTATATCTTCAATGCTGATTCTAGATATCTGTCTGTATATTATTCTGAATATCTTCTACAGTCACCAAAACTTTCCCGTACTTTTTTAGAGAGAGCAGGCAAAGCAACTTTTGAAAACAGTCACTAAACACTGTGTATGTTTTGTTTTGCTTTTCAGTCTTACCTAGATACTGTAGTGGAGTTTGTAATGAATAATTCCTGTAGATGTGAACCAAACTTGTCTCCTTCAGATCCTTTTTTGAAAAGGTCTGTAGCCATAAGAATATTTGTATTGAGCCACCTTGTCACGTAAAGCAGGTTGTTTTCACAAGTGTCTTCCATAATTGGTCAGGCAGCTGGACTAGATGATTGACACAGGTCCTTTCCAGCTGAACTATTCCATTCTATTCTGTTCCATTCCTGCTATTGCCAGCACACATAGTTTCATGAGTGGACAGTGCTTGCTGTTTAACCCTTGCATTGGCTAATCTTGCTCAGATTGACAGTTGTGTTGAAAACCTTCAGCCACAGATGTTAAATTAACTCTGTTAGTGCTCCTATTATTTTTGTCACTAGTAAGATTTCCCTGTCTGGAAAGTTGCAGTATAGCGCAGACAGAACCCTAGAGTTTCATTTATAGATTGCTTTGTCTGTACCTGCTGTAGTCAGTTTGGTTTGGCATGTTTAGAAACACAAAACTTAAATGATGAATGATTAGCCCTAGTGTTTGTAATTGGTAATATTTGCTGAGCTAGTGAAAGGTCATGGTTAAAAATTTATTGAAAAATAAAGATTTTATTTGCCCATTTAATTCCAGAGAGTGAATTTTCTGTTAACATTGTTTCTTTTAAGCCTGTTCTTTTCTGATAGGATCACTTGAATTCTAAAAAGATAATAAAAATTAAACTGATTATTCACAATTTTTCCTAATGGAGATTAGAATCTTACTTTCTTTTCCCAAAAGTTGAAAATACAAATTTTTCAACAGTGTTCTCAGATTTAAGAATTTTTTTTTTTCACATAGATATATGAAAAATGATTTAAACCGTCTTCAGCTACATTGCAAAAACAGAGAGTATGGCTGTGAAATGGTTTGTTCTCTGGAGTCTATAGACAGGCATGAAAGGGAGTGTGAATACAGTCAGATACCTTGCTCCAATGCTGGTGAGTAACATTCAAAGAAGTCGAATCCCTTATATTCTGAAAACATATTTGTCTTCTTTCAGTCAACAGAATGGCTATAATGACCATTATTTCCAAACAGGACTTCAAAGCTTTGTCATGATCTCCTCTTTACAGCAGTGGTTTTGAATAAAATCTATTACCAATTATGGCAATCATTAGCAACAATTTGTTTTCCAAGAACTGACCAAAATGAAGGAATGTGATGGACTTCAAATTTATGAAAATATAGTAGCGCATTTGTTTTACTTTGTGTCAAGTTATGAGTTTGTCTTTCAATTTTGACTGCTCGTTTTGATGTTTGAATCGATGTAATAGCACCTACAGAATGCTTATGGGTTGGAATTTATTTATAAAACAGCTGGTTGCCTGGTGCATGTTGTAGTTTTAACAAAAACGTATCTTGGAAATAAGAAATTTTTTTAAGTTAAATTCTGGTTAGAATTATTGTGTTCATGTTAAGGTTTTTATTTAAAACAATCCTACACCTTACAAGAAAGAAACATACTGCTAAAAAGGAACATACTGTTCAAATTTCTCAGTCAGTTTTATTTGAAATGTTGTATGTTCCTAGACAAAGTTGATTTCTAATTAATGATGCTAAGGGCATAGTTAAGTCTGCCATTGTAATTAAATATATGAAGATTAAGATGATGGAATTGCTCCACTGGAAGTTATAATTTCTCAGCGGTAAATGACTCCTGCAGATGCTTCAGATAAACCTGTTTTACTTCCTACAGAAACAGTAGCATTTATAGAGTCACCATACCTTACATCTGGTGTTCAGGGTGTGAGGGCTCTTACATCTCTTGAACTCTTTCTCAAGAATACATTGGAGTGTATTTAGAGTACCTCAATTACAAATCTTTATATTTATTAGTAAAGCTCTTCTAGAGGGCTGTCTCTTGTAATTTTTTGGTATGGTTTGTTGGCCAGTTTCATTGCTCCATTGTTCCAGTTTTCCTTACATCAATTTTGTCTTAAAATTAAATGCAAGTATGTATTACAGCAAACGACGCCTCAAAGATTAAACATTAAGACTACAAACTTCAAGTTTAGAGTGTTAAATGTAGCAATAATTTATATAGTGATCATTTTTAGTTCTCTACATTTTACTTTTAATCACACCAGATTTGTAATGTTTGTATCCTAGAATTTCTGTGGAAATGTTTCTAGTCTTACATCAGTTATTAAATGTTCATAAATAAATGTTCTCATTTATTTATGCAGTCTAGTATATTATACACAAGACCGACCACTTGTCAGGAGAACAAGGTGACATTCTATCTTGCCCACATCTCTCTTACTACATGTCTTTGGACCTTTTTTCTTAAATTTGATAACCTAATTTTTTTTTACATATGTGCATTCTTCTTCAATTCCAGTCACTGCAATCTTGGTGGAAGCACAGGCAAACTGCTAGAGTCTTAGCTTGGCATCAATGTTGTCATTATAGAAGTTGCTTTAATGCCAGACCAGTAGTAGGAGACTTTACAGAAAATACCTACTTTCAGTTTTTCATTATTTTCAGTTAATGGATAAATAATAAAATTTTTTTAAAGAGTGTTTTATTACTAATTATGTGTCTTGTAACTGTCATATTTTATGTTCTAAAGAAATCACTTTTTTCATTGCTTTAACAGCTTGACAGTTGCTTAACTCAGGATATTGCAGCTTTCTTGCTTGAGTGTTTTTGTTTGGAATTAATTAAAATGCTTTTGTTCGTTGTAAACGACTGGTTTACCTTATTGTTTGTTCCCTGTTCAGGCTGTACAGTTCAGATTGAACGACGTAACTTAGATGGTCACCTGGCAGTGTGTGAATATCGGAGCCGTGAATGCCCCAATGGTTGTGGTTACACCATTCTCAGTGCAGAAGACTCACAGCATAATTGTGTAGCAGAGCTAAGAACTGAGCTAGAACTGCTTCGGTACAAATCTTGTTTCTTTGATGTTTGTGTTAGTCTGGGCCTAAAATCACTGCATAAAGCACTTCAAATACTAGTGCTGGGTTCTGATATGTTTTAGTCTTGATACTGGATGCTAATTGGCCAGAGTATTGTTATGTGTCAGCATAGACTTTAAATTCTTACTGTGTTGACTCTTCTTCTATGCCTAAGAAAACTGGACTGAAGCTGGCAATTTCATTTTTTTATTGGCCTGTTATAGACCCAAAGTCACACTGTTTAATAATTATATTTAGTTTATATTTTTACAGATCCAAAAGATAAAAATCTCTATTTTGGCAGGTACAGACTGATAGATTAAACCCCTGAGGATCTGATTTTCAATTTTTATTAAAATTCTGACAGATTAATAACCATTAGTGAATATGACTCTTCATACTAACATCCTCTTTTTCCTCTTGTATATGTTTCTGTAGCTTTCCCTTTCCAAGGTATTCCAGTTGCTCTTTATCTCCCCATTTCCATCTTTCAACTCACTAAGTCTTGTTGTGAACATTGCTGTGAAGTCAGGCTCAAATCTCGTTTAAATGCATTGAGACACAAGGGATTCTGCTACTTGGTTTCTGAACTCAAAAGATTAATGTAGCAACAGCTAGTTTTCGGCTGTGAAGCTGTGTGAATAATTAGGTTATAATAGTTTATTGCATACTATCACTTAGTGTCCACCATAAAAGTGACAAGATTACATGTTTAGCAGTACTATAGTATTCACACTTTTAATCTTGACTGCATGTGTTTAGTAATACTAAGCAAGCATATACTATAGTTAAAAGGCAGTAAATAATTTAAAATCATAAATGCATGTTCTTGAGGAATATGGATATATATTCCATTCAGGAATATGATACAGTTCTTCCCTGTATAGGCTGTGCATGGTGACTTTAGTGCCCCCTGGGCGCAGTGGACTTTATCATGCTAATTTCATTTAAATTAATAAATAGTACTGTTATGCCTCTAGAGGGGTGTCCCGTAGAGTATGATGGGAATCACATCAGGCTGTTAGGCTACAAGAAGGCTTTCCGGAATTTTAAAATAATTTTTTCCACTTTTATAAGACTTAACAAGGAGAAATAAACTTTTTAGGTCAGAAATGATCTGCAGAGTGGAGGAGGCAAAACATGAGATGGAGTCAAGGTTAGATTCACAGAGAAGGCATATGGTCCAAAAAGAGAGTATCCTGCAAAATGAAATTGAAGAACTAAAGGTAAATAAGATAATTTTTTTTTTCTTCTCCTAACAGTTTACCTTTTTGTTTTCCCAGTATTTTGTAAATGTAGGCTCACACAGATGAGAATTACATTAAGTATGGGAAGCAAAACAGGTGTTAGTACAATGCTTTTCCAGGCTAATCATCTCTGTTAAGAAGCAGGCCGAGTGCTGTATTCGTGTGGTTTATCTACTTCAGATTCATCTGGAGCTAGCCTGGGTACCCATGTACAAGGACTGCATTGTTCTGTGGGTACACAACATTTTGGCAAACCAGTCTGAAACTCATTTTCTGTGTCTAAACATAGGGTATACATGACAAATCAGATTTAATTAAATATCCAGCTCCTTTTTTTGTGCTGTCCAAAGTGGCTTAATCCACTGCTGATACAGAGCCCTGCTGCAGACAGTGGTTGTTTACACTGTGGTTCAGCTGTGGTAAAAAGGTTGGAAACCTGCACTGTAGACTTAATCAAGCAACGAGCAAAGCCATCTTATCTTTTCATTCATCCAGTTCTTATTATATCACAGAATAATGATTTTTAAAGTCCAAAGTAATGGATGTGCTTTGTAGTTTACATTTCTATTTTTCTTGGATTTGATGTTAAATCCTTGAAGAATGTGTCTGACCATAACCAAAACCTTATTTTGGTTGGTGTCTTGAAATAGAAAATGTAAGTATCAACTGGGTAAATCCACTGTTTCTTATACTTTATAAGAAACTACTTGCATTTTTAGGAAAACTCTATTGGAATCTTTGAAACAAGACCACCTTAGGAGGTGAATGCTGGATTGTGTCTCTAATTGTTTACATTTGTTCTGCTTTCAAAAAAAATTATTTCAGTGTCATTTATTCTTTGTAAACCATCACCCTACATGGCCAGTTCAACTTCATAAAAAGCAGTTTGATTCTTGCAGTAAATTTGCATTTGCATTTCAGAGTCAGATGTCACGAATGATGTCGGATGTACGATCTCTGATGGCTGCAGAGAGACAGCACCGTCAAGAGCTGGAGCAGGCAGAGCTAGAAAAACGGGAATTAATGGAGCTGCTGAAAGGGCTGCAGAAGGACTGTCGATTAACTACTGCAGAAGGAAGCAGGAAGTCAACAAATTTCCGCCCTCTGACTCGACTAGAGAGTGTAAAACGAAAACCTAGGGAAGTTACAGTTATCTAAACAGAAGTAAGCTCAAAAAAGCATTTTTTTTTCTGATTTCTGTGACCATCTGGCAAACTTTTCTACTTTCTGTGAATGACTGGTAAACTTTATATAATTTCTGATTTATTTGTTTTCTCTTAAAATCTAGCTTACTACTTTATTTCCTCTTGAGACATAAAAACAAATGGGGGAATTTTCTCTTGGGGAACACTAGGCATTAAACCCAGTAATTGGCAAATACATTTTTAGCTAATGTTTTTATAAAAAGGGGGAAGGAGACTTAATTTATTATCTCTTCAGTGCATCATTTACAGAAGTCTTTCAAGCCTGAAAGCTGGAGCCTTTTAAAGTCTGAGATAGTTAATGGCTGTTTCCTTCCTGGTCTATTATAATCTGTTTAAGTCTAGTTTATGCTTTTCCTTGAAACAGAAAGAAAATGTTATCATCAGTAATGACATTCAGGATGTACTTAATTTTGGGAAAAGTCAGTAATTAATATATTTTGTTTGTTTATAGTCTGTAGAAGGTCTATTTCAAAGGTGGAAAGAAAGCACTTTAAATTGTATTTCTACTGCTATGTAACAGCTTCAGGTGAGGTTGACCTTTCACTTAGAGCTTCTCTAATGTTCCAGGTTGGTAACACACTGAAGAGAATAATACCAAAGTCCAAGGTAATAGTCACGTAAAACCTTTTAAATAGATGTGGGAGTAATTTGGAGTTTGTGGGAAGGGATCTGCAGTTTATTTAAAAATGTGAAGCTTTAATATGTGAAAGTATCAACTATTTCTACAGGGTTCTTTAAGCTTAAGACCAGTCCCTTCAATACTCAGTGTCTTGAGAGCATATATATATATACATATACCTATAGTATCCTTAATTTTCTTTTGGCAGGTTTAAGGCTACATGAACATTAATATCCACAACAGATGAATATTTGCGCAGTCACTTTGGACTTCAGATGTGTTCATTAGTACTCAAGTTTGGGATTGTGTAAGAGCTAGGATTTTTTAACAGACCCAAAAACACTCAATCAAGAGGGCATTTACTTGTAAGGACTGCATGACAAATCTGTACAGTTCAAAGACTTTTCTCTAAACTTCTCACACAGCCTGTTCTTGTTGTTTTCAGTGGTATAACTAAGCCATATTCTGTCTGTTGCAGCTCTTCAGTGGAGTAACTAGGGAGGAACATGGCCTCCTGTTTGCTGAATGTGCTAAATCAATTTTGAACTTTCAGGAAAATGTGTGCAGGTGCAACAATCTGAATAAGCTAATTTAATAGTTTAGAAAGCAAATACATTACCATGCATGCCTTGCTGTCACTCAGAGCAACACTTTTATGGCTAACAGTATAACCAAAGAGAGAGGCAGAAACCTTCGTTAGCACATACACTACATTATGAGGACTTGCAGTCAGAGCTGTCTTAATTTCAGGCATTAAGGAAATCCTTCTAAGATGCTGTTTCTTTAGTACCACTGAAGCAGACGTGCACATGTTCAGGCCTTGTGCATGTAAAAACTGACAGAAATAACTCTTTTGTAAAAGTTTATTTTTTTCTGAAAGAAAACATTCATAACAAGAGTTATGTCCAAATGTTTAGTTGTTTTCAGTCCTTATATTCTAGATTACATTACAGTCATTGCCAGTATTTAGGTCACTATAGCTGTCTCATCAACTCCTGACATAGCACATCTCTTAAATTGCCATAGTTAACAATCTGAAACAGTAAAACAGTAGCTATAATTTGGGAAGACCTTCATTCACACTAAACATTCAGTGGTCAATTCACATACAACAGTGCATATTAAAGCTGTAGGTAGAAAGTAAGAATGCTTTTGTTATCTTGTGTTCTGAATAAGCAAGCTGTTAAGTGTCTGGTCTTCTGTGAGACTGTTTCAGCATTCACACTAATTTTGAGGCTTCTTGGCAACACCAGATTTCATACTATTAGAATCAGTCCGTGCTTTTCTGTGTACTGTAACTGTGTGGTTCTGTGATGTGACCTTATCTACTTTGCTTAATGTGAAAGAACAAAATTACTTCAAAATCTTACAGAACTCAGATGAGCTGGATCATCTTTCCCAAGTTCAAGGGCAGTAATAATCACCCAATCTTTTCTATTCTGACCATGGAAAAAAGCAAGTTATTAGCTCTGTGCTTTTTCCATAATGGGGTCTCTGCATTTGTTTGTTTTAGGAATTTCACCCACTTATTTATGACTAAATTCCTTCTAGTATAGGAAGTAGGGTTTATTTAATATTTACTTAGCATTTGGTCTGCTGTCTGTCCCCTAAGTAACAGACATGAAACTGCGTGAGAAATGCACCCTAGGTGGTAAGGAAGGATTTTCTGTTGTGTAATCTTTGTAGCTTCTAGTTGCCAGTTCTGGAGAGTCTGAACTTCCAGTGTTGAAATGTAGCAACACTTTGGGCCCAGCTGCTGCTGGAATGGCCTGTTAGCCTGGGTTTCCTTCAGCAGCAAAAATGCACTTGCAGAGATACTTCACATGAGCACATAGTAGCTAAAAGCACCAGATCCCTCCAGTAACTTTAAACTTAATCCCATTCCTTTATGTTGATAACTGTTCTGCACTGCTAATGAACCACTCACAGGATGGCATATGCTGAAGTATGGTCATCATTTTACCTGTCCTATAATTAACTAGTCTGAAATTAAATAGTCCATTATGTTAATATTTTATCTACTTTAAGCTTTTCCTGTCTCATGTATTACACAGCTCTTAATAGCAGCTGGCAGAAGCAAGAGATTTTTTTCTTTCTTTCAAATAGTTGTTAATACTTTTTATAAAAACTAAGGGTCCAAATATCTTAGTAGATGGTGTGAGTGAAGACATTCACTTGGAAATGCTACTCTGCTAGTCATGGTCATATTTTAGGATTATATGAGAGACACTGCTAAAAGTGCATTACAGGAGGGCTCCAGCACTGAATTACTGGTATCAGTATTCTCATACTAAATCACACTTTAATCAGTTCCATTTCCTCAAAGTGGAACCGTGCTGAGAGCAAGCAGAACTATTACTCAAGTGGACCAGTAGCCATGTAAACAGTTGTATTTTTCGATGCTTCTAATAGCACTTTGCAGCTAGAAGAGGGAGAGCAAAGACTGGAGCCAGGAGAGTGGAGAGAAAGAGTAATTGTGGTCCGACTCTCTTCCTTCAGCCTGAGAGCAACGATGCGGCTTGCCCCAGCCTGTGCCACCAGCTAACTAAACCACTGTAAACTGCTAGCTTGTGGCATTACCATTAACATAGCGTTAGAATTAAAAGGAGATTATCTGCAGTTAAGTGGGTACGAAATGTAGTAGTACCAAACCTGGGAGATTCACAAACAAAACTCACAAGAAAGCAAGCTGTTAAGTAAAGTATGTGAGACTACAAGGCAGTACAAGGTCTTGAGCAAATCCTTATCATGTGTTAAATTGGGTGAAAAAGAATAAGGATGTATTTAAAGAAATTAATATTTTAAAGCCAAGTGGTAAATTTGTCTTGGAAAAAAAATCAACATCTACATATTTATCCCGAGGACCCACTAGTGGCCTGTTATGTGCAACTAGTTCCCTTAAACTGGTTTTCCACTTGAGAGGGAGGTCAAATCAAAGACAAAACATTGTTTCCTCTGTTTCAGTCAGCATTAAAACTACCTTCCCTTTTCTCCTGCACTCCTCCCAAAGCAAAAAATGGTTGGTGGGCTGGGCCAGTATGGACCATTGCTGCAAGTATTACTTTATTTAAAGCAGGAACAGTAATTTTGGGGAGAGCTTTGGGAAGTTTTAGATGAGTTTCAGAAGGCATTGAACTGACAACCGTGCATCTGAGTCAGGTGCAGGAGTGGCACAGAATTTTTCTGGACTTGCTAACTAATGTGGCAGGTTTTAGTTAGTATGATTCTAGTACTAGATTAACAGTCTCATATGAGATAAATTAATTTAGTAGCACACATAAACAAAGTTTCTTGTCAGCACAGAAGGGAATGGAATTACATGGTCAAGCAAAATACCTAATATAATGAAGTATTTTGACTGGCAAGGAATGTTTTTATCTCAAATGTTAAGTCTTTTTAAGAAGTTTAAAGTGTTAACAGATCCCAGGTGGCAAAGAGTTACAGAGATTTCTAGAAATGGGTAGCCTTGCAAATGAAATTTTCCATGTGCTGTCCTCTTGGATGTTTCTGGCATGGTGCTTTTCTCCAGCCATTTTACTTAGAAGTGCTGGATAGTCTTTAAAATGAGCAGTACTAGCCTTGCCTTTCTCCTGTACTGCTTGTCAGATGAAGTATGGTAGGTCAGGGAGATTTTACCACATAGATAGATGCCTTTATAAAGACCTACAATTCTATGCAACTTTCTATTAACAAATAAACATTGAGCTGTCTTCCAGCATTATGGTTCACTGCCAATCTATTTACATTTTCTACCTTTATATACACAAGAAGGATAAAACAGTGCTTAACAGATCTTTATCTCTGGTCTGTAAAACAGGAACACTATTTGTATCACTTTGAAGTACACTTTGTATAAAAGTTGAACTAATAAAGGGTCTATACTGTAATTGATGCAGTTTGTTTCGCTTTTTTCTGTTACAGAAGTTTGAGTTCCCTCTTTGTCAGATGAAATAGCAAAATTTAGGTATGTGGGCTGCAGAGTTCAGGAACCCATGAATAAACTACACTATAGGGTTAGTGCACTGGAGTAGGTACGGCTGTATTTGCCAAATAGAGGGAGGGTATAGCAAAAAACAAGGCAGGCGTTCAGTGAAGCAATATCCCTTCCCAGGGATTTTTTTCCTGCCTCACAGATGGGGGTCTTTGAATGGCTTGAGCAGCTGTTTTGAGGCAGAGAGCTAGCAACTACAAAAGTATGACACTCCAGTCCTCCAAAGACAGCAGGAAAGTAAACAGGCAAAAGGGAAAAATCAATTCATTGTCAATCACCTAAGGAGCTCTCATCCCTAGTGCAGATTTTTCACAGACCCTCCAAGAGCCTATGTGGGATATGAACATGTAAGAACAGGAAAATGAGAGTTGTTCAGAAGTTACAATCAGAGATGCGTTTGCTTAAACATGAATGATCTGCCCACGGGGCACTCCAGAGCACAATTTTGCTGCATGCACTGCTTTGCACCAACTGGCTCGAGCATATTCTTTTACCTGACGGGAAGAGTTACTAAGCAGGGAAAAAAGGCTGAAAGCCTGAACGTCACAACTGCAGAGCGCAGTGGAACAGCTTGCAGATAACCTGTGTATCTGCTCATACCTGTCCATCTGCATCTGGCATTCAGCCAGTACAGAATAATACAGACTACACAGCTGCTAAATTTTGAAAGTACAAAAAAAAAAAGCACACACAACTTCTCACCCTCATCTCAGTCACAAACCATGCATTTGTCTGTCCGTTAACTGGGACATTCACTGAACCAAGGCAATTCTTGCACATTTCAGCCAGAAGCACAGTCTCTGTTAAGACAGTCTCCTTTTTTACCACACGCCATTGCCCACACATGGTTGGTTTACTCAGCCACAGGACTTCAGGACGGAGAACTGTAGTGCACCAGGGACTCGTTTTGCCTTACTTGCTCCTCCCGAGCATTTTGCTCCTCAGGTAAGCATATGATTGACTAAACAGTATTTTGACATTGGCATTAGCTGTGTCCAGCGTTCTGGTGCTCCAGTCAGGAAATAAAACTTGAAAATTTCTTTTTGGGCAGAGTATAAAAAGAAAAATTTAATGCTTAAGGTGTTATTTACTCATGGTACGAATCCTGTTTAAAAGAGCAAACTAAATAACTCCCAAGTTTTAAACAGCATTATTTCAAGTTAAATTTACCCAAGGAAAGAACCACTTTGCATTGAAGGGTCACAGAATTAAATTCATTTTAAAAAAACACACCAAACAAAACATGATAGGCTGTACTTCTAAACAATTTACAGAGCTCCCATACATCAAACAGTTTAAGCAACCCTTTATTTCCTCCTAGTTTGAAAATGACTAGTGTGACATGCCATGTATTTTAAACTTTCAAGAACCAGTACTATTTACATATTTATTCCATGCTTGACACTTTTCAGATTCCCTGACAAAACACAAATTATTCATATCCCTGCTAGTTTTCAACACAGTAAAGTTTCTAAAAAAATAAAACAACCTTAAACACATGGTCTAAAGGAGCTAGTCAGCTTAAAAAATATTTATGCAGTGCTCCTTAAAAAAATAGCATTAGTACCTGTAATGCCTGTGAGAGCCCCACCCATTTTAGTCATTACAATTGCATTATTAGTAAAATTACATCTTCCTGTTATTTTACCATTCAGAAAATTGTTTGGCTTCCAATCCAAATCTTTGTTCACTTTGCTTAAAGCATTGAAATGCATACCTTTGTGAAGCGATACTATTCCCTTTAACTGCACCCAGTCAATTAATAGAGGTTTACCACTTTCATAGGTTATGTCCATTGACTTTGTGCAAACTAAACACCTCTCAAACAGTGGGACGCTGTCCCAGAGTCTCCACATACAGAAAGTACACATAACGGGCCTTCTGCAGTTCAGATGAAAACCTACTTAATTTAGCCATGCAGTATAAAGCTAAAAAAAAAAAAAAAAAATTCAATTTGAAGTATTATCATACTTCAGAAGCACTTAAACTAGGGTGTTTGAGTCTAAGCAGACGAGCTGTCCAAAGTTAAGATTACATAAAACAAGAACATTACAACTGGGCCTTATTTAAGTAGGCAAAGACCCCTTTACAGCACTTCTGTAATGTCAAGAGACCAAAGCGTAAGTGAAAATCAAGCTCAGCTAAGCATGACAGTGGAGCTCATTTGTAAAAATTGTATATGGCCTTTAGAAAAAGCTTCCACTCCTCACCCCATCCAAAAATGCAATAAAAGGCTATTAGAATCAGCTAATTCTATGAAATCCCATGGAGCCCAAAGGAATGCAAACATGTAAAAAGCTTACTTCAATCACTGAATTTAATATGAAAATAAATTTAGAGTTCAATCTAGTGGTGGCACTTTATGAATTCCTACTACTAAAAAATTTTTCTTTTTTCAGTCTAAGTATAGAAACAAAAATCTAACCCATCTATTCAAAGGAAAGGTATAAGCATTACTGCTTGACTATGTGACTGTTTAGTTTATACATCTGTCTCTATGCCTTCTCCTCAACTTATGTAAGCCAGCAGAGAGGCAGGCGAATAATTAACTCCAGGCTCTCCAAGGGTACGGGTATCTTGCCTTTCAACTTCAAAGCATACTCTGTTTTCCAGTGAAATAATTCTTGTGCTCCTAATGCACAAGCTGGAGTTGTAAAGCAAACGCTAAAATGTTACTTTATTCTCCCTGAAGTCAGTGACAGATTTCCGACTAATTTAACAGGTGTAGGATCTTATTTAAGTGTCTAATCAACTACCAAAGATGTACAACAAAACCTACATAAATTACATTTACATTTGTATTCTTTCACACATTAATTAATTTCAATCTTCTATTACTTGCTACTTCAACTGCTGTCAGATGGACCTCATTCATTAATAACTCAGACTTAAAAAAAAGGGCTAATGGCTCTAAACCTGAGAGAAAAAACTAAAATTGCCTTACATACATATATATTTAATTTTCTTGCAATAATAAGTCACACACAAAACACCTGTACCTTTCTTTTGGCACAATGAATATTTTAGAAGTCCTTCAAGCCTTAACTCAAAGAGGTTCTTTACTGAGTATTGTCTACCGAAGTCCACAAAAAAAAATGAAAACATTCTTTCAAAAGGAACAAAAAATTTACAATTGTACACAAAAAGTCTTGAATTTTATTGAAATTTCAAGTCTTGTATCAAACAAAAACTTCTCTTCAGACAAAAATATTCTCTTGATGTCCTCCAGATACTAATAACTCTGAATTGGTCCTTTAGTGCCGCTGCTTTCTTTGCCATCTTCACACAAATGCAAGTGGTTGGGCCGTTCCATTAGGTCTCATTTTATCGTGTGAAGGAACGTACATGACGACCTCTTCCACTGCCTCCACTAACAAACTTTCCTCTTGAGCCACCACTGCTACTACTATTAGCACTTGTCCAAGATGGTCCAATTCCTCCCCGGCCTCTGGAAGCACGATCGCGAGGACTCGGTCGGTAGCCTTAAAAAAAAAAAAAAAAAAAAAAAAAAGCCCTAGGCGTAGTAGCTGCTGTGAAAGCATAAGAAACAAAAACAAGATGAGACAAACAGGGTCTGTTTTCTCCTTTTAATTTTCACTTTTCTTTTAGGCAAACATTTTTTGCTTTGATTTGCTCTATAATTACCATGTAGGTACGAAGACAACTGAATTGCAAAAATCTGAATGCAAAATTAAGATTCTGCGATCAAGTGTTCAATTCAGCAAGCTTTATGGATTGTTCGTATGAAAGCATGTATTTGACACAGTCTCAGTGATAACTGTTCATATATGCTTAAAACATTTGCTGAATTTCAAGGTGTCTGCAGCATCCTTGCATGGTTTCATTTGTAAAGCAAAAATGAAATTCAAGGAATTTTCTATAGTTCGATGCCCATATGAATACCATGTACCTGCTGAACTTAATGGTCTCAGTGGTGGCAGCGGACCCCTGTTAAAATTGCTTTGACCACCTCTACTGTCATTGTAGGTTCCCCTGGGCGTACTCTGTGCACTCCAACTTGAGCCTCGAGCGCCTTCACGACGACTGTAATTTCCTAGACAGGGAGAGAAAAACCCACATGCTGTTGAGCAAGAGCAAATATCACTTTTTCTTTTTTTTTTTTCATTTCAGTCTTCACAGTACTCAGGATGGTAAGCATAATATTTACATAATTCAAATAGATGAAGCTGCTCTGCATCAACATAGTATTCTAACTCAAAGTCTACAAGTTACTGTATTATACACAGAATCAGGGGAAAACCATCTATTTTTCAGACATGAGCTCAAGGTAAAAAGAACTGACATTATCTACTGTATTAACATAGACTGCTATACTCTAAGGTTTTGTGGTAAAGTAAATCCTAGTATTTATAACTTTACTGAATGGAAGCATTTCCTGTTTCTACTGTGCAAGGACTTGCCCTTATTATGGGATGGAAGGGAAAGGAATGCAATCTTGTCTATGTATGAAAGAAACAGAACACTCTCTAGCTAGAATCTCCAGGTTCATGGAATCTTGCATCCTTTCATTCAAAAGCCTCTTTTAAACTCAGAGATGGATTGTGATGCTTGATTTCAGGAACTACCATATCACAAATGGTAGAGCGTGCTTTATTTTTTTTTCCTGACTACACCTCTTAAAGCACTCCAACAGTTGCTGAAAGAAAACAGCTAATTCCTTTTGTAAGAGGGAGAGAGAGGCAACACAGGAACTTGCAGCCTTGTTTCAATTCCACAGCACTCAAGAGAACCTTTTCTAGCGCTAAACAATTTATTTCAACAACACTGCTTCGGGAACAACTCACAGTAGGGATGATTAACTGATAGTAAATTGGGTTAGTGTTACTGAAGCATTTTTAGCATTCATTTACTCCAATTCTAATAAAGGAAATATACCTTTTGAAGCAGGTGGTGTAAAGAACCTGTTCTGACTGTGAAAAGCTCCTCGTCCTCCACGATTCCCTGAGAACCCACCACGTGAAGAAATCTTCTGTGACACTTTTGGTGGCCTTTTGGCTGGTGGTATCCCATCTGGAGCAACCACTTCTTTGCTCTCTGCAGCAACAAAATCATCCACGTGCATGGAGGGTGGCCTGCTCGTATTCTGTTTCCTCTGACGGAAGATATCATGTGGTCGAATTCCTTGTCCAAATCCTCCCCTGCCTCTTCCTCTTGGTGGTGGCACAACATGAGCTCTCTTTGCAGGCTCTATGTACTCAGATTTTCCACTGTCACAACAAACCATGATTTATTTAGTTAATGTAAAAATGGTTCATACTGAAGGTCATGCATTCTCCATACTGGAGATGCAATTTGAAAGGTATTTGACATTTTGAGAATATACAAGTCAGTGCTGAACACACTAACTGTTTACTCGTTAAACTCATCTTACCTTGAAGTTATGAAGGTCTCATGCTTGTGTTTGCCAAGTTTGAACCCTTTTGTGGTTTTTGTGCGGCCAGGAGATGATGGTTCTGACAAAAATGACCTCTCCAATTCAGCTTGCAAGTCAAAGTCACTGCAGCCCTTCTCTGACAGTTCAATTAAGTCAACTTTTACCTGCAATGAGAGAGTTTAGTTTTATCACAACAATCATTACTAGCATCTCTGAAGAAAACATGCTGTACCAGGATGGATGAGATTCAGTTAGGGTCCTTCTACTACAGTGAAAAAGCTCCATTCTCTACTGCAGTAGTGTGGCTCAAAACAAAAAGTAGCAGTAACAAAAAGCAGCAGAGCTGCAGCAAAACCGTCTTGATGGTTTTGAATCTCGACAAAATCAAGGGCATAACTTTCAAGTACAAACCCCTATCTTGTCACTAAATGACATAGAGTGAGGCACTCTTTGGCTTAAGCTACGGTCCTATAAATTTATTAATGCTGCTTTTATACAGGAATCAACGGTTTGATTTTTCTTTAAGAAATTAAAACACAAGTATCTTTGCATGTAAATTAAACTAGAAAGAATGAAAGCAATGAAGTTAACGGAAACTGGTTATTTCTCATATAAGAAGACACTACCGATCACTTAGTTTAAAAAAACAAAAGAATGTTATTGTATATTTTTCAAAATAACATTTAAAGTTTAGATTATAAAAATCAAGTTTCAAATACTGTTAAGAGTTTTTGTGCAAGTAGTTTCATTTACTACTGCCAGGTTTTTTTCACTTTTGTCACATCAGAGCAAAGATACAAACAAACAAAAAAAAGTAATATCCAAAGAGCCCGATAGCTACTGCAATGACAGAAGACGAGGAAAAGAAAATAATTCACATTCTTTGTCCATGTTTAACACAAACTGCTGAAAAGCCCTAGCAGCAGTGCAAAAGAAGATTAGGACTGACACAACAAACGTTCCTCTAAAGGAGATGACTTCTGCGTTAGAGCACTGTAGAAAGTGCCAATTTTGTGGCTGGTTCTGAGTGAACCTGAAGGTATTTGGTAACAACTTTTAATGAATGCTAAGCCCTATATCAGGGTCAATTTACAAGGGTAAGCTCAGAAAAACAAACAGTTGGGCCGTATGAATTTCTGATACTACTAGCTCAGGTTAACAGTAATTTTTAAATCCCCTTCAGTTATGTTAATCAAGTCTTTTACCATATCTAGATCAGTGTCTATTTCTTCAGCCTGAAAGGGTGAGAACCACATGGACTTCAGCTGGTCATCCATCACATCTGCCAACACGTATGTAGTCCTGCAACAAAACAATGCCAAATACCTATTTGGTTATGAATTACAACCAACTGCAAGCATACACAGCATTACTGAACCTGGGGTGAATGTTGCTGCCTTACCGTTGATACAAGCATGAAATTAAATACACTTGGACTAGTAGGTAGTAGTGCCAACAGTGCTGTTTAGATCCTGTTTGTAATATAATTATGCATAACTTATTGCATGCAAGTAGCATGCTCACACACTTAACCATTTTACCTGTTATTAAACAAATTCTGAAGAGAGTCTGGTGCAGAAAGAATAGGCTCTACATCTTGGTCACTCAGCGGACAAGAATCACCCGCAGATTCCAACATCTGCCTCACTCCAACAATGTTGTCCAGTAAGGATTCAAGGCCATCATCTTCCTTAGAACGATCCTAAGTCAACATAGCACAAGTCAGAAATTTTTCTCCTTCCCGAAGAAGAAAAATGCTTTTGATAATTAAAAAAAAGAGGGGTACTACACAAAATAGTCTATCCACCCACAGTGAAACTAAGACACCAAGTACATAAACAACAACAGACAGCTCCTCAGTCTGCTATAAAACAAATCATGTCACCACATGCACATTCTAGTTCTCATTTCCAGCTGATGCAGTAACATCCATAACATAGTCCCAAAGAAGGTATCACTCCAAGTTTTAGTTAACAAGCTAGAGCATTCCAACATCCTAGAGCATTCCAATGTCCTAAGTGTCTGCTATTTCTCCTTCAGCACAGCTGTAGCTTTTAATCTTTTCCCATAGATCTAGGCATCCAGGAAAGGAACTGGAAAGGCATTTGTGACCAACAAGCTGTGGAGCAGCTGTTTTATGGACTCTTCTAAATTAGTCATCTACTGCATGGCTGTCATCAGTTATGTAGGATTAGATTTGAATATCAGAGCTAAGTTTGCAATTAGAATCACAGAAACATTGGTTGGACTGAATTCTGCATATCCTCTAATCCAATTCCCCCCCACCTGAAGCAGGACTATCATCAAAGCCAGATCAGGTCAGCCATAACTTTATCTATCCACATCTAAAAAAAGCTCCAGTGACAGAGCACCCACAGCCACTCTGTTCCAGTTCTGCGCTTCTTTCTCAGTGATTTCCCACCCCCTCCCCATGTCAACCTGAATCTCTGAAGCCACAGTTTGGAGCCACTGCCCCTTGTTTTATCATCTGGAA